GTTACAATGGTGGCTATACAAAGCAAGTCATGGACGACCAAAACAACCAAAATCAGAGCTCAAGCATGTTAAAACAAGGCTAGAAGTTTCACAAAGTTGAGCCAAAATCATGCTAAAAAAACACACATATTACAACATGATGCATGTTAAGGCCAAAACATGGGATTAAAAGACAAGTGTATGAGGCATACATGGCATGTCTAAACCAACTCAAAACAGTACTATATCATGGCAAGACAACCACAAATACCAGCTAAGACATGGTCAACATGAACTTAACAAAGGTGCTCACATATGAGACAAATATGGCAAGTATTGAAGACAACAAGGAGAGGAGATGGCCCTCTCCTTCTTAGGACCTCAAAACACCATCCCGACCACTGCTGAAATCCCTCTGGAGGGGTGGTCCCGAAGCTCACAAAAAAAGGCATAAAAAAGAGGCCAAACAAGGCCTAAGAGGGGGTAAACAACCCCAAACACCAAAGTGATCTTAAACAACTATTTTAAGAACTTAAAAACAGACATTTTATCAGTTATAGTTGAAGCTTAAAACAATATGCAAGATAGGTTAAAAGCTTGTACAAAAATGGGGAACAAAGAGGGTAGTTTCTCACCCTTGAAGAACCTCTTCAAGAACACCACTCCAGTACCTTCCTTAGATCAAAACCAGCCCAAGAACCCTAACAACAACTCCTTAGAGCCTCAGCAACCAAGGATGGTGTAACACTAGGTGTTTGTGTGCAACAGTGTGAACAAAAGTCACTTTAGGGCACAAAACACACACACAAAGGCAAAGATAATGAATTATAGAGATAGATAGATATAAACTTCCTAACCCTAATTCTCTGAACCTGGAGGAGGGAGGAGGGACTCCCTCTTTATAGAGGTTCAAATCCTCAAGCTTCCAGGAGAAGCTAAACAAGAGGCAAATCACTCCATACACATGTATGGAGGGGGTGTAATGTGGATGCCAGTTGTCAGCTGGCATAAAATATCTGCCAAAAGCAGATGGAAAGGGGTCGGCTGGAAAATATGGCCGATTGACCAACAAAAATGGCCGGCCGACCAAATACATTGTCTACCGACCAAAATATTTGGCCGATAGCAAGAAAACAGAGCCGGCGGCCTCAAGCCAAGGCCGGTGAGGTGTGGGGATGGCCAACAAGCCATTCCCTGCCCTCAGAAGCAAAACATAAGTGTTTGGTGTACAACCAAGCACAAAACAAACAAGTCGAGAGGTCTTGAGACAAGGCGCGCAATCGAAACCTCCGAGAACTCAAGACGAACACGAACATGGATGATCTTAGTGTTCAATCGGTGACGTTCAAGTCTTGAGGACAGTAAAAAATGGGGTGTGTATAGCTGCCCTGGTCAATGAGAACATGCTCAATGGTGAATCTGTTTACATATAGCTTGATGACGAGGGGATCAGTGTGGGGGTTGGTCACTCCAACTAAATCACTGTCATCGAAACTAATTATTCCAGTGTCGTGTGGCCATTTCGCTGGCATCATTGGGCTATGGGTGCTAGACGACAACTGGATTGTGTGCACCTCAGGTGGTGCCGGCAAACTGTATATCATATGAATTACACCAAGAGGCGGTGACTCCGGCCGTAGAGCTACGGTATTTGTTGAATTGTTCTTTCGGACGTATTGCGTAAGACGACCGTCTTGCATCAATTCTTCTAGTTGATCTTTTAAAGAAAAACAACTATCGATGTCGTGACCATGGTCTTTATGATACTCACATCGTTTATCTTGTCTTCTCGCATTGGGGGGTCCCGTCATCTTGGGCGGCCACTTGAAGAACGGAAGGTGTTGTATTTTCGACAGAATCTTATTGATCGGCTCTGTTAGCTCCGTGTGTTTCTTGCCCGAATGCCTTGTCTGCCTACTATTCACTTGACACTGTTCATTAGCTCGATGTGAACATTGGTCGTTTGATCGGCGCGAATCATGTCTTTGTCTCATTTAGGTCGATTCTGCCGCTCGGGGCTTCTTGACGGCACGACACTAATCGGCTGAACAATTTCTGACGTGGCCGACTCAACGGCTTTACGTCCGGCTTTGACTCGAAGGGCATCGTCTTCCACTTTGTAGTACGTTTCAACCTTTTTCATTAATGCCCAGACGGTTTTGGGGGGACGCTTGGTTAATGAACTGCGGATGGGGCTTTCAAGATGCAATTATATCTTAAAGGCGGTGATGGCCTTGCAATCATTGCAAGCATCATCTACCAGATTAAAGCACTCCTAATAGCGGGCCGAGTATTCGCAAAGAGTTTCTTCCGGTTTAGTTTGTATAGCCTAGAGAGAATTGGCTTGCTTCGGCTGAACCTCATTAGTGATGAATCTTGCCCTGAATGACTTTTGGAGTTGGTGGAAGCTCTTAATTGATGTCGGCTCCAGTTGATAGTACCACCTCACGGCCAGTGGTCCCAGACTGCTTGGAAATATCCGATGCATGAGGGCTTTATTGTCAGCATGGAGCGTCATCGCTTGCTTGTAATGATGAATGTGATTAGTAGGGTCTGATTTTCCGTCGTAGAGGGTGAATGACGGTACCTTGAACTTTTTGGGTAGCACAGCCCTGGCAATTCGTCGCCCGAATGGGTCATGTTTATCTTCCTTATCTGAATCATCGCTTCTTCTTCATCTATGCCGTACATATGGACTTCCTTTGGACGAGCTGGATACATCAACGCGCCCTTTCTTTCTAGGCTCCCGAGATGGTGAGTCTGAGTCACTATCATTATTGCGTTTCTGAAGTCGACGTCGACGACCATCCTTCTTTCCCGGAGGTCGATCCTAGTCTTGGCATGCGGCTTGTTGGGATTTCGTCACCTCCAAGGCCAAATTCTGGCGCAGGCGCTCATTCTCAGCCATCATGTTCTCCAGCCGCTATTCATTTTGCTTTGCCTGATCCATAATCGTCTACATTGTCTCATGCATTGAAGTTGAGGATGAGGTCTGAGCTACTGAGTCAAAGTTCAAGGCACGTCGCGTGGCGATATTCTCTGGTCCCAGCATGTTTCTTGGAGTGAGGTCATCTCTTGGTGTAGTTTCGTCAGCGACTATCAGAGGATTTTCCGTTACGCTCGCCATGGATGTACTTGAGTATTCTCACAGACGGTGCCGATTGTGGTGATGTGATTCGTAAATACTCTTGGATCCTGAAGGGCGCTCCTGATCCTTTGAATGCCACCTGAAAAAGGGAATAAACACTCCGGTCGGGGGTGTCAGAATTAGCACTCCGACGGACAAGTTAGTATATGTCTTTCGTTTACTTATGTCTTAAGTTTCTTAGGTTATTTCTTACATACCTTTTTTTAGCTGATGTTCCTCTATTTATATCTTCTTTTGGGCCCTAGGATCGGGCCCACTCTTAATCTATTGCACGTTTATTTATTCGGTGGTTGTTCAACTGGTTCTACGGCTGATTAGTTTATTCGGCTTTGGGATCGTCCAGGACGGAATCGAATACAATATTTATCCTGATTATCCTCAGACCTGTTATTCAGCTTTCTTGCATGTACATCAACATTATCCGGCGCCCATATTGCCATATAAATTTAATGGTTAAATGATATGAACTGAAAGAATTGATGGTATATAAATAGAATTACCCTAAATTTATAGTAAAATGACTATTGAGGACAATATGGGCGTATTTGTACTTATTCAAGTAATTCATATATGAAAACACAAATATCTCTTTATACTCTATCACTTATATACTATATTTTTTGGAACAAATTTCTCTTTCAACACTTATCCACCATTGTTCATCTTCACAATTATAATCTAATAAACTACACCGATCATCTTCACAAGTATAATTTAACACACTATACCCGTTATCTTCTCCATTATAATCTTTGCCATTATTTTTCAAACTCAAAATATTATTGCCTTTTAAAGATTTAGGGTTTTAATAACATTGAAATTAATTAAATTTGAAGATTTGCACACCATGAATAACACTCAAATGGTTGATTTGAAACAATAAAACAATAAATACATCGGTTTATTTTTTTGTTTATCTCGTTCACATAAGACTTGACATTTATAAAATGTTCAATTATTTATATTTAAATAAAATTATTTTATTCAAATTATAAAGGCTAATCAAATAGTAAATGTTTAAATACTTTAGCCATGATGTGCACCAATTTATTACCTTAAGGTTAAAAAAAAAATTATAGTGTAAACTGAAATATTTTTGTAATTTAAGGCTAGGTTTGGCATAACTTATATAATCCGTCTTTTTATCTTTTTATCTTTTTTTCATCACATCACCTCTCTACTTTTCTGCACATCTTTTCATAAAAAGACAAAAAGTGCACTTTTTTAGGATACCCCAAACCAACCCTAAATATTATTAGATATGCTTACTAAATAATAGTATTTACTGATAAAATCAATAGTGTGTAAATAACATTATTTTATTTCTGTATTTGAATCAATAGTGTGTAAATAACATTATTTTATTTCTGTATTTGGTTAAGAAATTTGAAAAAAAATTTTAAAAAATAAAACAAATAGATAAAATATAAATATATATTTTACATAATTTCATTCATGTTCTCTTTTTTTGTCAAATTCTTCTCAAAATCCCCTGATCAAATACTGTCCATTGGGACTTCTTACGAAGGTCAAGTTTGGCATATATAAAATAATTCATCTTTTTATCTTTTTTTCATCATATCAACTCTTTACTTTTTTATATATCTTTTTATAAAAAAATAAAAAATACACTTATTTAAATCATACTAAACGACCCCTAAAACCTTGTTACCTAAATTGGCCATAATTGCCCAAAGTAACCTCAGTGCATACAAGCACATCACTGAATCAACAAATTCACACCCTGACCGCCTGATTTACGACACGAGGGCCAATAACATCCCGCAGGTGCTATTTATTTCTTTTAGACGGTGACGTTATCATGCCTCCGAAAATTAGACAAAAAATAAAGAGTAAAAAATAATAACAAAGAAGTAAAACAAGAGAGAGAAATATGTATTATTGATAGAGCTTTGACAGAAAGAGAACAGTGTTTTGGTTCTCCGAAGAACGGTTTGCCGCTCCAAATCCCAATTTTCTCAGAGAGAGAGAGAGAGAATCTCAATCTGTCTATGTTCAAGCCCTCTGTTCTGTTCTTCTCTTGACTTGGAAAGGTCCAATCTGGAACATTTTCCCGTGCATTTATCGCTGATTCCCAAGCTATGATCTTCTGACAAAGACCTCGATAATCAAAAGGCGATCGTTTGATGCATTGATTTGATTTGTCTGTGTGTTTTTAGCCGTTGATTTGTCCGCTGAGATGAACGGTGGTGATGATGGAGAGGTTGCGGCGGCTCCACCGCCTGCGCTCGAGTGGAAATTCTCTCAGGTCTTCGGTGAAAGGACGGCCGGTGAAGAAGTTCAAGAAGGTAGTATTACAAATATCGCTTATAACTTTTTTGGATCCGCTAATTATTTGTTGTGTATATAGCGATTAGGGCTTGGTTTTATGTTTTTGATCTATTTCGAATCCTTGATTGTTGAATGATTAGTTGATTAATTGGTGATTGGGGGGACATGATTTGGATTTAGGTTTTTGAATTGATAGTGATATGCATGTTACGATGATGCCTCCAATAGAGATTGTATCTGAGTAGTTTGATATCAATTGAGTGATGAACAGTGTGCTACTGTAGTAACTGGACTTAATGGTGTTACTGTTAGTTTCATGCTCTCTTTAAGTGCGTGTACTTGTTTTGCTATCGTAATTAGTTTTTTTTTTTTTTTTTGTTTTTTTCAAGTTTTGAAGATTGAAAATAATAGGTCTTATTGCTGATCTCCGCAGCTATCCATTCATTGTTAGAATAATGCATCGTTTTTAATTTAAGCTTGGAGTGTATTATAGAGTGATTGCATAGCCAGTTTAATTGCAACAATGATTGGTTTGTGCTTGGTGGTAGTAACTTAGGGGTAACTGTAGAGCTAGCAGTGGTGTTCAAACTACATTTACCTATCACCACCACCACCATCATCATCATCATCATCATCATCATCAAAGAGAGAGAGAGAGAGAGAGTCATTATTTAGCAGTTACCCTCATTTAACTCCTAAAGGGAAGAAGATATTGGGTTTGATGGATTCAGTGTGGTGCCATTAGGCACATTTTCTGAATTATTAGGTTGCTAAATGATAATATAGCAATCTAAATATATTTGGAAATGGGAGACTATATCCTAAGGGAGATAGGAGGAGAGAGGTGGATGATTGGTTTAATGATGAAGGAAAAGGTGATTATTCTTATAAGAATTAGTTTTATGATCCAGAATCATGGCTAATTCAGCTTGTAAGGGATATATTATTTTAGACTTTGGAGTTTGGAGAGAGAGCATACCAGAATGCATTTTATAGTTTTCTTACTCTATCTTCTCTATATGTAGATTTTTAAGGTGAGATAAATGTAAGTTAAATCTAGATCATCCATACTTGGTTTCGAGGTTCAGCATGTGCGATAATTAACCATGAACAGGGATGCGTAGCCATGAATACAAACACCAATGTGGGTGGGCTCTAGAAAGTGGCATTGTAAGTGAAATGACTGTAGTAATGAGATGTGGGATCTTTGAGGTGTGGATCCAGAACTAGTTGTACTTGTGTGTATATATGTTCTTTATTCAATGGTTAAATTCAGCCCAATAACCTTAAGGTTGTGTGTTTCAATAGGAGGGTGGCGACTTTGTACATAAGAGTTTGGCTACGGATGCCAAAGCACCATATTTTTCACTCTTTCGAATGGGAAGGCAGTCACTTTGTACATGAGAGTCTGACTACTTACACCACTTAAAACACCACATTTTCACTATTTACTCGCAATGGAGGTGGGCCCCACACCATCGCTGTGAGTGAGAAGTGGAAAATGCAGTGGTTTAGGTGATGTCTCTAGAGATATTGTTACAAGATGGGCAAAGTATTCATCATATAGCTTGTGTTCAAATGGTTCAAGAAGTGTTTGCAAAGTATTTGTAAAGTGTGTGATAATATGTATTTATTAATTGAGACACATTGAAGAAGTGTTAGACATGCTTTAGGGGTGTTTGTAGAGTGCCTGTGTTCGAGACACAGGTGCCCGATACGACACGCCTACTTTGTAGAAATATTCGTGCTTCTTATAGTCGAATTAAACTCAATGTACTTTTATATATTCTTGGTTTTGTACTAAAGATTTTGATCAAATCTTACCCTTCTTTCAGAGATCCATTCTAATGGTTAGCTTTCTATACAATTGCTTTCTATGCAACCAAAGCAGCCAAATAGTTGGACTTCTGAAATATAAGCACTTCCTGCACCTACTCGTGAACTCACATTCAAACCATTTACATTTACATGCTTTTAGGATTATAAACTAAGTTATATATCTCCATAAAAAGGGTTTGTTGTATTTGACGCGATGTAGAGACCTACTTGAACATTATTTTTTTAAAAACAAATTTTAGCTTTTAATTTTCAAATTTCGAAGTACTAGTCTAATATTATAATTTACTTGGGTTTTAGAGTTGTCTTCTCATTGTTGTGCACCAAGTTACATGGTATATGGTTGCATTTTATGGTGTTCAATGGTGATATTTTATTGAATGGCAAGTGAATTAGAATATCATATTGCATGTTGTATGCTACAATCTAAGTTTATGAGAACATGAGAGGAATTTCTTATTGGTGATTTATTTGGTTGGTAGAATGGCATATAGGTTTATTTATAGTAATTAAAAAAATATGCTCTATTCGATTATGATTGAAAATTAATGCAATCCATATGCAAATCAAAGATCAAATTGAGAGAGAGAGAGAAGACAAATGCTCCAATTAGGGATAAACCCCTAAGGGTTAGAGAGAAACCAAGGCCTACTCCAATCACAATGTATATTCTTTTAATGAAAAACTAACTACAATGGAGTATTACATCTCCTATTTATAGACGATAACTAATAGGCTATCTAACAAACCTGTTTATTCTACTACATTAGACTCTCCCTCTTTAAGAAACTTGTCCTAAAGTTTAAGTAGCAACTAAGCCCTCGTTTGGCAAGTGGGATTTTTTAGCTTTTAGGCTAAATTAACCACAAAAAGACAAAATATGCTAAAAAGTCAATAAAAATGTCACATTCAAACTATAATTATTTCATTTTTTCTCTCACAAAAATCAAAAAAGCCAAGCCAAAAGAACTTTTTAGCTCCAGACTAAAAAAACCAAAAAGTTAAAAAGCCAACCCACTTCCCAAACAAAGCCTTTGTGTTTAATATAACACCATGCATTGAATCCCGAGGCGAGGAATAGGTGCTGCATCCCCATGCTCAACGCAAACATGTTTCCTCACAACTCATCCTTGGGTGAATACATTGATCCGCTTCTTTGGCTAAGCTACCATAGGTGCAAATTGACAACTCCCATCATGTCCACACCCCCCTTCCTAACACTTGGACGAACTCCCATTTTACCGAGCTTCTTCACCTTTGACATACAAAATGGTGTAAACGAGTACTCTTCCTATCGAAACGTGACTACTAGGCTGGCAAATGATATCTTCCAAAACAAACGTGGTTAAAGATGTGACAAATTGATAGGATTGACTATGCAACCAGTAGACAAGAACAACTTGAGAGAAATTGATCATGAGCTGGAGTTTGGCATTGCACGCCTTCTTTCCTTCCTTCCTTTGGACACAAATGTGAAATGAGCATACAAGAAGCAACTTACTCAACTCAAAACAGCTTTTGAAAGAGGCATGAAAGGAGTACCAAAGATAAGCTTCAAATAAACTCTTTCAAGCTTTCAAAAATTTCAATGTCAGCTTGCAATGCGACAAGTTGCCCGCTCATTTGTTTTAACTCATCTCTTTGATTATGAGTTTGATTTGAATTCGCATAATTGCTCCTTCCAATTGAGAGATTCATCTTTGTTCTTCACCTAAATTCACAACAACTTTTGACCCCAACCTCCTTTTTGACCTCTTCAACCTATTCTTTTGATTTTGGTTTATCATTGGTTCATCCATTTGAGGGTTCATCCTGATTTCTTCTTCCGAATTCAAAACAAATGCCCTACCACGACCATCGCTATAACCTTGACCTCGATTAGCCATAATAGGTTGTAAATAACGCAATACAACAATCTGCACAGTACAGATTTCAGGAACCCCAATCGACAACCCCTCAAGAAAAGCGAAGATCCTAGCAACTAAGCAACTATTCCCAAATCAAGAACCCAAACCCACGAATGAAAGTCCACATACCAAATACAAATTAGAGACCAAGTAGAAAACATAGGCCATAACCAAAGATTCTTCAATGAGAACTATCGACTTAGCAACAAAATCAAAATTGCGAGCAAGAAATCGAGATGGCTCAAGTACAAGACTTCAAGAAATGATATGAAAAATAGATGCGAAATACATGTTTATCATACCAGATCGCAAGATCGGAGGTTGTATCACAAAGTCGACTCTCAAGCTGATGTATCTTAGATGGTTCGTATTCTATGGTTGGACTTCGAATTGTGGGTTGCAAAGTCGATCGACAAAGGAAATCCACAAATAGAACTCAATCATTGTTGTGAACTGTAGTTGCGAAATCAATCAGCAAGAAAACCCAGGGTTTCGATTAAGACCCAAACTGCTATGAGGTTGTCAGGCTAGGGCTTCAAACTAGGTACGTAGGTTAGATTGTGATTGTCCAGCCAGTTGCGATTTCAAATTGTCAAGCTAGGGCTTCGAACTAGAATACAACCAAGAGCTGAGTAAGATCCGAAGCTAGGTTAGGATTCGGGTGAAGTTGAACTTGCTGTATCAAAGTCAATTGTCCGATGAGTCGCAATTGGGAGTTGGCCTTGAACCCATGTAGTCGAACTTCAGCAATGAGTCGGATTGTGAATCGAAAACTTCAATCCAGTCGCGAAATCAAACCGCGAAGCTGAATCCTGGTCAAGGCTGCTAATTGCGAAGACGACTGTGTGTCAATGTTGAACTTGACTTGCCAACTAGGGTTCTTGAGAGTTCATATCCAACAACAATGAAGGTCCAAATCAGGTGTGTAACTCATACAGTATCGAATTTAGTTGATGAATTAATCAGAATCTGAAATGATAGGATCCAAATTTGATGCTTTGATACCAAAATAATGCAATCCATATGCAAATCAAAGATCAAATTGAGAGAGAAGACAAATGCCCCAATTATGGGTAAACCCCCCAAGGGTTAGAGAGAAAAACCAAGTTCTACTCGAGTCACAATGTATATTCTTTTAATCAAAAACTAACTACAATGGGATATTACATCACCTATTTATAAACTACAACTAATAGGCTATTTAACAAACCTATTTATTCTACTACATCAAAAATGGGCAATTTAGGATTGGGATACTAGTATGGTTTCATTAATCGAGTACTTTGAGCACTTTGTAGAGTGGTAGATTGGACCCTTCAATAATGGATCTCAATACTCCTTCATTCATAGTGGTCCTGACATTGCATTGCTAGATCCATTTTTGAACCTTTTACTCAACCTCTATGAGATAACCTCAAGTTGATAGTTGCCAAAGATACAACTCCAACAAAGCTGCTTTGGCGGCTGCTATACTTATAATTTGACAGGAACCCAATGTTCTTCCCCTCCAATGCAATGCCAAAGCTATTGCTCTGGCCAAAATTTGGCAATGCTATATTTTTGCCAAACTTTGCCACATCGTCATCCAACACCCAAAATTGAAAATTGAAAATACCTACCTCTCACTAATGGGAAATCTCACTGGTGGTAGAAACGTAATAGCCGGCGGCATAAATCCAAATACTATAAATTAATTTTGAAAATTAAAATAAATCACTAAAATCACAAACACAAACCGTGGATCAAACAAAATTTAGACATATCATAAATAAAATAGAGAGTTTAACAATCATAAAACCCACCGAGATTTAAAAGTTAATTGAAACCCACAGTTACCCATATATGTTGTCAAACACAGTGTATGAGATGGCTTCATATCAGCGGTGAGAGAGAGAGCATGGGGTTGTTCACTGAATTGCCGGTAAGAGAGACATTATGGGGTGTTCACTTGAATCTGCACTGTAGGGCATTGTTCAGCACTGTGGTGGGCAGAGCCTCTATGGACTTCCAGTGACTTCACTTATGAAGAGAGATTAGAGATAAATGAAAGAAAAACGCTATAGGCCCCAGATTTTCTACCAAACAAGTGACCAAATGTCTAACATGGGTGTGGGGTCTCATTTGGTAAAAAAATTGGTATCCCTAGCATTACCCATGTGTTAAATAGGGAATTGGGGTGCCTATTGTGCATCAAGCCCGCGGTCCCCCTCCTTTTTTTTTATAAATGAAATAAACATTTTTTTAGAGAAACAACTAAGCTTTAGATATTATCAAGTCTTCTATTTTTTGGTTAAACACATTTATCATATAAACATTCTATGTTCAATGATAATATCTATCCCAAATAGATGTTAAAATAATGGTGGTTGGAAGGAAATTATATATCCAAAAAAAAAAAAAAAATTTTTTTGGGCCAATTGAGAGAATAAAAATTAATGACAAAGGTCACCTTGAATTCTGTAATGAAATACCTAGAAGATGCTTCCATGGAAGAAACACATGGTTTCAGCTATTATCAGCTGTTGGTTTTTATTGTGTCATTGAAGTTGAACTTGCTAAGAATGTTATGTCTGCACTACAATCATTCAATCTTTCTTGTTTGGCTGATTTGTACTGGGTGCAACCGTATTCTTGGTTGCATAAACCAGTTTGGAACCTAAAGGTTGCATTGACAGTTTGCAGGTTGCATGGTAATGCTGTCTAGAAAGTATGCTAGAATGTGGCAAAGTTAGAAAAGGTGTTTTAACTTCTTTGGTTAATTTGAGTGTACGAAGAGCAAAGATGCTTCAGAAACACTATGTTTTCATTTTGTAATTTTATAATACCATGAGACTTCTGCAGGGTATTGTTGTTAATCATGCTCGCAACATTCACATATGCTTAGCATCAATGTATATAGTAAAACCGAGTCTCTCTCTGTTTATAATAATTGACGTTTCTTTAAAGTTTGGTCTGTTCGCTTGTCGATGGCAAATGCATTATTATTATTGACATAATAGTTAAAGTTATTCATTCTTAGTAAATCTTAGCAGGTTCATAGTGGGTTCCTAATCTGTTTGCTTTGAATAATGTGTTTAATTTTGCAGTTGATATCATTTCAGCAATAGAGTTCGATAAAACCGGTGACCACCTTGCTACTGGTGATCGTGGGGGCAGAGTGGTATTATTTGAGAGAACTGATACAAAGGATGTATGTTTGTGCTTCTCTTTTGACTTTTGTTTGTGAATCAGAATGTCTTGTAGTAGTTATTGTTTCTTGTCTTTTGCAATGCTGTAATAATATTTTGTAACGTGATGTGTAGCATGGCGGAAGCCGCAGGGATCTAGAGAGGATGGATTATGCAATTAGTAGACATCCTGAGTTCCGTTATAAAACCGAGTTTCAGAGCCATGAACCTGAGGTTTTCATTTTCACCACTTCTCCTTTGGCTTGCTGGATCTGGTTTGTTCTAATTTATTCTGTATTTGTGTCCTTCTGTGTCCAGTTTGATTATCTTAAGAGCTTGGAGATTGAGGAGAAAATCAACAAAATCAGATGGTGCCAAACAGCTAATGGTGCCCTTTTTCTTCTATCTACTAATGACAAAACTATTAAATTTTGGAAGGTGAGAACTTCAATTTGTTTAGTAGTGTTTTAAATCTTTTTCATATTTTGATTAGTGGGTTATGTGGTGTCCATCTACCTAATTTCTTAATTGGACTCCATCCAAACTACCTAGTTCCAAATTTCTGTATAGGTTTAACTAATTATTTTTGGAACATTGGACTGTACTTGGTTTTTAATCAGGCAAGTTGTGATGGTAGTCTTGATTATTTTTTAGAGATCTTTCGAGGTTCAACATTTGTGGTTACCATGTTGGTCATCGTTAACCACCTGTTCAGAACATTTATTCCTTTTTTTTAATTTTTTTTTTATTATATATATATATATATATCAGAAAGTCTAGGAGCACAGAGGATGTAATACAGAAACCAACACAGAAACTGTTCACCGGTCATCCGCATCGGTTGTCCGCCCGAATGACTGGCCAGAGCTTGTCAACTGCGGCTATCATGGTGTCAACCGCGACTGTCATGTGTCAACTGCAGCTATCATGGTGTTTTCCGGTCGTTCGAGTGGACGACTGGTGAACAGTATTTTGTGTTTGGCTTCTGTGTCCCACCCTCTGTGTGTATAGCATTGCTGTATATATATTATTTTAATTATTTTATTTAATGATAAATCATTTATGTGCTTGTATGTGGTGTTTCATATTTTTCTTAGTTGAGCTTTATCTTTCTTTAAATTGTGTGTCATCTATGAAGCATAGATACTTCTAGATGTGAGTTTTATCCGTATTGGATACTGATACTCAGATACTCTCAGATACATATTGGATACTTCCTAGATAGAGACATTTTTTTCCCCTCAAATTTTGAGTAGTATTGGATACGTTTCGAATAATTGGTAATAATTTTGTGAAGCACAGATACTTCTAGATGTGAGTTGTATCCGTATCGGATATCGATACTCCTCGGATACTCACGGATAAATATCGGATACTTTCTAAACGGCGAAATTGTTTTTCTTTAATTTGAGAAGTATTGGATAGCTTTCGGATAATTGGTAATAATTCTTACAAAGTCATTAATACAAGAATAGTTTTCAATACTTAGCTTAAGAAAAATATCATGATACTAAAATCAGGTTTAAATAAAAAACAAGTGAACTTGTGTACAACACTTCAGCATATAACACTTTTAAGTGTGCAAGGGAAAAGCACAAAGGTAATATAAACAATTTAGACATGATATTGAAATTAAATTTTTACAGGACCTACTAAAAAAAAAGGTAAATTGACTGGTGGCTTTTAAACTAACACCTAATTCCTAAAAATTGGTTGGTTTCACACCATTATGTGAGCTCATTTGTAATACAATACGGAAATTATAATTTATTTACAAACGTATCCTGATCGTACTCCTTTTTTTTTTTTTTTTTTAAAGGTTTTGTTGTATCATGGTATTTGTATCATACATATCATATGGTATCTATATCCCGTATTTGTATCTGTATTCAATGCATATCTGAATTTGTGCTTCATAGCATGTCATGGTACTTGAAGCATTTTGGCATGCAGCTTGATGTCATGTAAAAAAAAGGTTTTGGTTGGTGCTTGGTAATTCTTGATGAATTAGATGGAATGGTGCCATCTCAAGGCATGGTGGAGGCGGTTCAATATTGTGCCAAACTGAAGTTTGCATGGTTCAAAATAAATGAGATTGGAGATATAAAGTTAAATGCCATAATGCACCTTTCATTTGTTATCAAATTTTAACTTTTGTGCTTACAATTGCTTGTTATGAATTTCCTACAATTGAATTTTGGGCATAAAAACATGTACCCCTAATTTTAAAGATTTGCAGACATTGACTGTAGTTTGGGTCCTTAGATCTCATTTTTTTGGTCCTGTTATGCCATTGGTTCTTCATGCATGTTTGCAATTATTTAAAGGGGTATTACAAGTCAAGGTTTTGAAATTTTATGAATTATAAATTTGAAGGAGTTCCTATTACAGTTTGGACTATTTTGAAGTCATTATAAGCTATGTACTTCTGGTTCTATGGCAACAATTGATTTGTTGATTAGATGGCGCCTTTATTAATTTGTTGGGCAAAAACTTTAAAGCCAGCACCACCTCCTCCTAATTTTACGTAATAGTCACAAAAATATTAAAGCCAACATGTCCTCCTTCTAGCGTTATATAATGGATAAAATACACCTCTAGCACCCAAGGTATGTGTTATGTAAAGCTTTGGTCCTCCAAGTTTTAATTTTTTCAATTTCTTTCCGAAAGTTTCCAATTTGAGTCAAATTGGTCCAAACCGTCCAATTTTAGATGACCATCTAAATCATTAATGAAATAATAATAAAATACCCATATGATCCCTAAAGTATACGTTTCATGCCACTTTGGTTCTTAAAGTTTTTAATTTTGTCAATTTGGTCCCAAAACACTGATGAAATTGACAAAGTAACATGAAATGTATACTTTAGGGACCATAGGTATATTTTATTATTATTTCACAATGATTTAAACGGTCTGTTTGAAATTGGACCAATTTGATTCAAATTGGAAACCTTAGTGATGAAATTGACAATATTAAAACTTAAGCAACTAAGTGACATGAAACGCATACTTTAAGAGCCATATTTTATTATTATTTCATAATGATTTAAACCGTTTGAAATTGGACCAATTTGATTCAAATTGGAGACCTTAGAGATGAAATTGACAATATTAAAACTTGAGCAACTAAGTGACATGAAACACAAACTTTAAGAGCTATAGGTGCATTTTATCCTTTATATAATGTTCTATAGCAGTTGAAAATTTGCACGACACTGTAATTTCGTTTTACATATTTCAAACTAAAGTATCAAAACTTTGTATGCTAGACAATTTTGTTTACCTTTGATGGTTATGTCTCACACTTCTATGCTATTTTATTGAATTTAATAGGTGCAAGAGAAGAAGGTCAAGAAAATATCTGACATGAACATTGACCCTTCCAAAGCTGTTGGAAATGGTGGTATTGCCAGTTCAAGTGTCTCTTCTAGCCCTAGATCGTATCTTGCAAATGGAGGATACACAGATAGATCTTGCAATAATTTGAGCAATGACTTCTCATTCCCGCCAGGGGGCATTCCATCGTTACGTTTACCTGTGGTAGTTGTACTCAACCTAAGCCATTTATTTGCCTGCAGTAACAATGGTCATTCAAATGAAGAATGTACGAGTATCAGTATCTAGAGATTATGCTATTTCAATATGGCTCAAATTAACCTACTTCATGGGGAACAAAAAAAATCCTAAATTAGCCTGGCCATATTATGAAAGGGGCACGCAGGCATTGTAGAAAAGGCACAAAAAAATTGAAATGAAAGAAAATAAATAACAGAAAAAGGAAGCAACAAGGTTCAGTGAGTTGCACGTATGATGCTTGGCTTTGATTTGATTTAAGATGCAACAAATGGAGCCTGTAGCTTGCAGACTTTGAGTCACAACCTTTTAATTTACTGACTATTGAAATTACCTCGTTTTGTTCTTCTTTAATATGTACTAGTGTACCTGTCTGTCTTTAGGGGATTCGAATGCAAATTCAATTAAAGTGATTTATTTATTTTTTTCATTATATGTATTCGTCACATAGATATGCATGTATGTGATGTATGTATTTATGAAACAAAAGTGAGCCTGCATTGTGCCTTTTTTTGTTGGCAAAACCATTTATTTGAGCAACATAGACTATAATTTTTCATTGTTTTGTTTTTCACTAATATGTATATGTACATATATCTAACTTTTTAGTTAGAATTACAATATTACATGTACCCATTGGTATTCTGATAAAGGCAGTAATATTCATACATTTCATTGATTGTTATGATTTGCAGGTAACCAGTCATGAGACCAGCCTTGTGGCTAGATGTAGAAGGGTTTACGCTCATGCACATGACTATCATATTAATTCTATTTCAAATAACAGGTGGGATCCATACTTTTTGTTGATATGCACTTTCACTTTCTGTTCTAATTTATTCGTTGAACATATTCGTTGCTGCTTTTATGTTTGTTTATATTCAGGTTATCTCATGAGCTTGGAGTTGCTAGAATATTCCGATAGGATATTATTATTATTATTGTTATTATTATTTATATTATTGCAAATTTCATTCCACTTTCTTCTATGAAAAGGCAAAATATATCCCTACCCTTCATTCCTATCAAAAGAATCTAGATTGTGATCAAGGATTTAAATTGCACTGCTTAGTCATAAATAGATTTTTTTCTCCTGTGCCTTGGCAATTTTTTTTTCATGAATCCAACTAATTAAATGCATTTTTAATGATGAAACCTCTAGCTAAGGTTTCGAAAAGCAGTTGTGGTGGCCATAACGGTTGTGGTGATACAGTTGCGGTTGCAGGGTGTAAAGGCCGTAGCGTTACAGTTACAGTAATCGGAACCGTGAATTTTTAATTTTTTTGCACAATTTGGAAAAAACTTAGCGATACGCATATATATATTTTTTTTCCAGAATCACATTTATTAAGGTTTAAAATAGATTTTGATCAATATTTATTAGTTTTTAAGTATGATCCAATATATTTCATATTTTTAAATTACTATAGAAAAGAGCTTTTACATTTTATTTAAGTAGTTAATGACTTTGAGAATAATTGATTTGAAATGTCTATGAAATTATTTTTGACCAATACCTGAACTAACTAAATAAAAAATATTTATAATTATTAATTGAAATGATTATAAAAATAAAAATTGTGCCATAAACAAAATTATTTTTGAACTAATGATTTTTATTTTTTAAAAGGCATTTTTTTAGACATCACTTTACAGCTAAGTAAATAAAATTATTTTCAATTGAGTATTAAATGAAATGATTATAAAATAAAAATTATGCCATAAGAAAAAATTATTTTTGGGCTACTTTTTTTTCTTTTAAAGGCAATTTTTAGATAATACATTATAGTAACAAAATAAAAATATCTACAATTAAATGTTAAATGAAATGATTATAAAAATAAATACAACTGCTGTTTATATATTTTTTTATTTTACATGCTAGTGTAATGAAATAAAAATTTAAAAATAAATTATAAAGGAAAAAAAAATTCATACAAGATTTTTTCTTTAGGCTTGAATCATTTTAGTATTTGTTCCTTTTTGTAAGTTTTTTTTTTTTTTGGTCGAAAGGAAGCCATTCAAAATATTGTAAGGTGTGTAACGGGCCATTACGGTACCGTTACACACGTAAATTTCCATCACACTGCAAAGGCGGATGTAACGGGTGGTGCCTACTACTGCAAGCGTTATGTAACGGCCACAACCGTTATGTAACACCACTTTTTGAAACCTTGCCTCTAGCTGAAGATAGATAAGGAGGGAGAGGATTTGGATTCGACATGGATTTAATTACGAGGATATAGATAACGATGCAGAGTATAAGAAGCTTAAGGAGGATTAAATTCAAAGAAGTGATGATATTTGGACATTGACATGATTTTACAGAGAAACCGATAGGAATCAGAAATAATTATGTTCTTTTATAGTTATTTTACGCTTTCTAGAGTTTTTAGGTCAGGGGTATTTTGGTAATTTTTAGATTTGTTGACATGGCCTGTAGAGGTTGCCCATGGGTTGTTTTGTGAGTCAAGTTATTTGATTGATTTTTATTTATATTTCTTATTTGGTCTTAAATTAGTTTTGGAAATCAAAATCTTAGTAGTTTTCTATTTCATTTATATTTATATAGACTTTTGTCTCCAAAGCCTATATAAAGTCATGTAATACTTCATATTATTAAAGGTGATATTTTAGAGATTTTTTATAGCTTTGAAGCCTCTTTTGGGTTTGTGTGATTCAACCTTAACCCAAGTGTGATGCCTATGGAATCTATGTGTGATGGCTAGACTTTTCGTCTTTAATTCCTGCATAAATTCAACATAGTTACTGTTACCGAATCACTGTTCTCAGCCTCATAACAGTCCCATAACAGCCCCAAAATTCATATCTTTAATTGGTAAATCCTTTTGGTGCACCTTTTGAAAGCCTAAATTTTTGTGTTATCCTACATCAGATAATATATTCTTACATGCATAAGTATAATTCCTGTATATGTAGATACAGATACCCACTCGAATCTCATCTTAATAGAATGCATGTTTTTTGGCTGCTTGTGTGGGCCTAAACTTTTCATGTATGGTAAGATGAGATGCTAGTTTTCTGGGTGACATATGTCATGGGAGTAAACTTTCCATGTATGGTAAGATGAGATGTGAGTTATCGGAGTGGCATATGGCATGGGAGTGCAACATACAACTATGATGAAACATTGTGTTTGGATGACCCCAAATGTTTTGCATGACTGGATAGCACATGATGCAATGACATATGTCATGGGAGTAAATTTTCCATGTATGGTAAGATGAGATGTGAGTTATCGGAGTGGCATATGGCATGGGAGCTAAGTTACACGGACGCGGGCATGAGGATCGGGTGCGGGTGCGTATCTAGGGGTCAGACACTTTAAAATTAAAAATTAAGGATACGTGGATATGTATCCAAATTTAGATACGGGTACTTATTAACTATTATTATTTTATATAGATATATACGAATATAGATGTGATCAGCGAAGGACGAGAGAGAGAGACAGGGACGAGAGAGAAGCGCAGCGAGAGAAGCGCTGCGAAGGAAGCAATCGATCGATCGATCGATCGCGATTGCGATCGCGAGGGAGAGAGAAAGCGAGAGAGAGAGAGTCGTCTGGGGGTGTTCGGCTGTCCGATCGACTGACGGAGCTTCGATCTTCGACTGGATCGACCGGATGGAGCTTCGACTGGATGGAGCTTCGACTGGATCATTCTACCAGGTTATCTCTTGCTCTCACCTCTTTCATTTCTTTGGCTGTGAGCCGTGTCCGATAGAGAATAAACAAATCCGACACAGATCCCACACCCACACCCGTGTCGTGTCGTGTCGACACGGGTACTTCGCCCCAAAGTGGCGAGTCCATGTAACACAGCATGGGAGTGCAACATACAACTATGATGAAACATTGTGTTTGGATGACCCCAAATGTTTTGCATGACTTGATAGCACATGATGCAATTACAATGTAGCTTGGTGGCATGACCTTTATGTGGGCATGCCATGCTCTTACTCTCTTCACCCTGAATCTGGCCGGGCCTTCTCTCCCCCTCCAAAGGGATGGGAAAAAAAAGAAGAGAGAACCAAATCCTGCCACCACCTATCTGAAATGAATGGTGGACAATTGGCATATATAATTTATTAACTACACTTGTACATTAAAAAAACGTACACCTCTATTGGTAAGCAGCATTACTGTCTATTATCTGGAAAGCGCTATATATGCACATAAAATTAACTGGCTGTAGTGGTCTATTGTAGCTCTCTATATGATTTAACTGTTGTCATTTTATCCTTGTGGTCATTAACTTCATCCTATGTATATGAACGTGGTGATTGGCTTGTGCCAGAATATCAAATTGCCATTTTGTGGTTGTATGTTCTAATTTTGACCATTCATATTATTGAGACATGTTTGCTTTTAATTTTGTGGGATCATCTAGCCAAATATTTCATTCTGAATTATATGCACGTCATCTTCACTTATATTATTTTTTATATTTTTGGAAAGGGAGCATCATTTTCACATTGCATATAATTTTGATGGGGTAAATTTGATAATCATCATTTAAAGCTGTTACATATAACCTAATAAGCAAGGATACAGACAAATGTTACAACACGGACACGACACTGACATGCCAACGCGAAAATTTACAAAAAATGTAGGACGAGACACGCGGTGGACACGTGTAAAATATATAGTTTTATATATTTATTAGATGTTGCAGTTATGAATATTCCATTCAAGATAATAAAGAAATACAATAAAGCACTAATCTTTAGAGTTTAAAGGATGAGAGATTAATAGATATAAATCTACATTATTTTCTTTTGTCATTGGATCTAAAGTTATTTTGTTCAAACTTGTAATGTGGTTCATGATTTTTTGAATGGTAGCCACGTGCCTGCCCTTTAAGTGTCCCAAAATGTGTCCGGACCTAAAATTTTAAAAAAATAAATAATAATAGGACAACTTTGGATGTGTGTCCGACACATGGGAAGTGTCCGACGAGTGTTGGTGTCCAACATGAAGTGTCTGCTGCTTAGGGTATAACTAATCAGGCAATGTGAACTTTATAAACTTGATATCCAGTCTTCCTCCCTTCCAATATGGTTTTTGCAAAATTTTGCTGACTCCTCTCTCTCTCTCTCTCTTGTATTCTCTCTCTTGTATGTTCTAGTGATGGTGAAACATTTATATCGGCTGATGATCTGCGAATAAATCTTTGGAACTTGGAAATTAGCAATCAAAGTTTCAATATTGTTGATGTGAAGCCTGCAAACATGGAGGATCTAACTGGTATGGGCCTTAGAAAATTGATCAGAGCTTTCAAATTAAATCATGATGTCTTTGAATGTTTTTTCCTTATTCTTTGCATGTCTGTTTTCATGCGGTTTGGATTTCCATAACTGCCCCTCAGTGAATTACTTTTTGCATTTATATTGGTTAATGCGGTTTTTAGATCTAAAACCAGTTTGTTTGATTACGCTACATGTTCAAGCCTTGAAGTTTTATATATTTAACTTTTTTGCAGAGGTGATAACATCAGCAGAATTTCATCCTACCCATTGTAACATGTTGGCATATAGTAGTTCAAAAGGGTCAATTCGTCTCATTGATCTGCGACAATCAGCTTTGTGTGATACGCATTCTAAATTGTAAGTTCCTTAGTGGCTTCTGTTGAGCTTTACTCAACCCTAATGAGTTGATTTGAAATAGCAAAACTGAAGCAAATATAGGGGTCTCTAGCATTTGATTTGTTGAAGGTCCCATGAAAAAAAAGGTTAAAAATTGGGGAAAAGTAGAGTTACCAGAGAATGTTAATACCCTAGCGATACGCTTTGGAACATATGTTTTGAAACATGGTACACTTTCTTTTCAAAACAGTGAATTTAGTGATCCAAAATTATCTCAAATTTTTTTCTGAATATATTTCTTAGGAACATATAATAAACATGTATAATGAACTAAAATCTGAAAGTGGTTTTGGCAGGAATATATATATATATATATATAAACCAAAAAAAAAAAAAAATTGGTCATAATGCTCGTAGAAATGTATTGTTACACATGATTAATTTGAAGTGGAAAAAAAAAAAAAAAAAACTACATTTTATTGTATGTCTAATAGTTGGAAAAAATTGTTCTAGAGGTACCTTAAATTCCTATTGTTTAATTTATTTAAGAGTTTCTATCATACCACATTTTAGAACATGTGGCGTACCACGTTTCTGTTCTTGTTCCACATACCGAAAAGATCCATGTTCCAGGTAACATGGGGGAAAAGATAGCATTATCCTCCCCCCCTTCTAATAGGTACATCTGAATTACTGTCAAATGCCTTTAGTATGATTAGTCAATGATATCCGTCGCATACAGGTTCGAGGAACAGGAGGCACCTGGTTCAAGATCTTTTTTCACGGAAATAATAGCATCAATTTCAGATATTAAATTTGGAAAGGATGGAAGATATATACTTAGTCGTGATTACATGACTCTTAAGGTTCGAGCCTTTCTTGCTTAATTACATGAGCTTTATGTTTGGTACAAACCATTTGGAGTACTTAGTGCTGCACATAATTTGAACTTTCAGCTCTTTTTAGCATTTTCTTTTAACAATATAATGCTTGCTTCATCTCCAAAAATAGTACAACTCTGTGCCTGTTTCATAAGACGCTGAAATGGCATAATGACACTGATGATACAGCACACAAAAAACAAAAATAGAAGAGATTATTTTCTTAACAAGTGATAAAAGGCATGGGTGATCTGCAAAAGGTAGACCAAAAGTTTTGTAAGGATGCACTAAGTACTCCAAACAAGAGATTATTTTCTTAGTAAGTGATAAAAGGCATGGGTGATATGCAAAAGGTAGATCAAAAGTTTTGTAAGGATGCACTAAGTACTCCAAACCTTTTGGAGTACTTAGTGCTGCACATAATTTGAACTTTCAGCTCTTTTTAGCATTTTCTTTTAACAATATAATGCTGGCTTCATCTCTAAAAATGGTACACCTCTGTGCCTGTTTCACAATATGCTGAAATGGCATAATGACACTGCAGATGATACAGCGCACAAAAAACATAAATAGAAGAGATTATTTTCTTAGTAAGTGATAAAAGGCATGGGTGATATGCAAAATGTAGACCAAAAGTTTTGTAAGGATGCTTAATAATAATTTTTTTTTTTAAGGACACTTCAATATAGGTGGATTGCTCCACGAGACATGGATGCAACCATGAGAAGTGCATCTGGCACATTTCCTTCAGACATTTTCAGCAAGACTAAAAAAGTATTGAGGAATATACACCCAGTTGAAAATAAAGTCCCCCAATATGTGGTAATAATCATTAGTACTGTTACTGCTACCGTAGAACTTGGTCTGCACCTTCACATGGATCTTATTGTGGAATAAGTTTGATCTGCCAGTTCTTAAAGATAGTTTCGTTTTATGATGTATGCATTGCATCTGTATTTGGACTTACTGAATGAGTGCCAGATGCTTTGCTTGTGCTTGAATATTTTCTAGTGACAAGTTGAACTGGGAAATTTTAGGTGTATGGGTTCGCACTTGATATGTGGCGCCTCCTGGTTGTGTTGCACAGTCCAGCCAAGTGGAAGCATTGCAAGTAGTTGCAGATTTGTGTGGTGCTACTTAACACTTTTTACTAGTTTGCCAGGTGGCCACAAAGTGTTCGCAAAGGCAAGCAAACACAAAAAGTTAGTTGATGGGCCAAGATGTTGGAGATGAACCACGATGTCACGACCCAAACCCGCCCCTAAAAGTTGGTCCATGACTGGCCTGTACATAGGCCTCAAAACAAAATTTCACGAATATTTATTCAAATACGGGGCCTTAAGCGGAAGCAAATACCAACATAAAGACAATGCCCATTGAGTTTGTGTATGCATGAAGACTTAGATTAATTTAAGCATTTAAGTACGCTTTCCATATTTACATATATAATCATAGAACTTATACAGATCTCACACACATATACATAAGACTCAATGAAATATATAATTCTCCAATACAAAGTTAAAGCCTTGACACAGAGGCGTAACCCGGGCGGCGTGACAGAGAGGTGGAGCTCGATACAACCCTAGTGTTGATCACCGATGGGTCACCTACATATATAAAATAAAAGGGTAAGCTAACGCCCAGTGAGTAATATTAAAGTAAAGAGGTTAATGAAGTCCTTAACATTAGGAAAACGTATTTCACAATTCTGAAATGTATCTTAAATCATTTCAAAAGAACATTTATCGTATCATAATCGATGCATTTTCAAATGGAATACATGTTTGAAACTATTACAAAACATTTTATGTGGTACGTGGTACGCGGTACGCTCACTTATACAAAAGGTTAGAAGCAAATTTCAAAATAGGACATCCATTCATGCATATAAAATAACACATCGTATCATGAGTCATATAGCGATGTAAAAACATTTGTATTCATATCATATTTTCTGAACGACCTCGGGTTCATGTATAACAGAACGGCCTTAGGCCCAATCATATATCAAACGACCTTAGGTCCAAACGTATCACACCGTATCAGTGTATCTGATCATGGAGTAGATGGAACATCGACATGTCTCCACCTCTCCTTGGGCCCAATTCATGTATGTATGGACCTAAGAGGTGACTCGTACGGACTCTAGAGTGACTCTTACTGTAGCACTTAGTTCCGTACAGCACTTTGTTCCATACTAAAAGTCAATAAGTCTTAAAGACCGAACAATCATGCCATAGCATAAACGAAACAGATAAGTAGAACGGCCTTGGGCCAGCCATATCGTATTATAAATAATTCACATTTCTTGTTCATAACTTATTTCATATTTCTTGAAAACTTGTGCATTTAGATAAAATATAACATTTAGAGAATCATATCATACATAAATCAAGATAGATAATGAAAAACATATCTTTACTATATTATTACTCACAATGATGGGCTCCTGGTAGCAGTTGGACGATGTCCTCGTCTTGACCTACAATCACAATTATATAACACAACATATGAATATAACCGATATCTTTCTTTGTTCTTTAATCAATTAGTTATGTTGATTCTAAACTCATTAGTCCTCAATAGATCATAATCCATGTCTAGGAAAATAGGAGGAAACAAAAGGAAAATGGGTTAGAAGAAGAAATGGCATAAAACCGGTAGACAGAGAGTGAACAACTTTCACTAATTTGAGCATGTCTATCTGTGTACTTAGAATTTGGGTGTGAGATCACTACCATTGGAACTAGATTTCTGGAGCTTGAATTTAGGCTCAAGAATCACTTAAAACAGAGTTCGAATGAAAGAGATATGCTTATCCGAAGGACCCAAGTTCTAATTTCTTAAATTTAGCTCAATTAAATACATAACACAAAACTCTAACCCAAATGGGTTTCAAATCTTCCATTCTCATTATAATTTCATGAAATTGATGAATTAATCATAAGGATTCAAGATAGATTTTCATACCTTAGTTCAATCTTTGCTTTTCCCTTAACTCTCTTCAATTTTCCCATGCTTTCATGGTTGATCTTCTTCCTTTCTCTTCAATCTCTTCAATTTGTCTTCAAATCCCATGAATGTTGAGCTCTCTCTCTTAGAGAAGTTTTCTCTCTCTTGTGCTCTCTCTCTCTCTCTCGGTTCTCTCCCTCTCCCTCATATATTTTTGGCCTCAAAAGTGATGAGTTCAACTCATATCTCATATATATATATACATAAGCTTATCACAATTAGGGAGAGCCAAACGCACCCTTACAAATCGAACGAAATCAAATTTCAATTAAACTTCCCAGATGACTCTAAAAATCATGCTGATCATAACTATGTACTCTATTCTGATTTTTGAAGCCTTTAAGGCCTTCAATTTGCAGTGCAAAGTTAACCACCCAAACGCACCTTAACGAATCAGACGACATAAATTTTCAATTAACTTTCCCAAATAGTTCTAAAAATTCCCATTAGCATATCTATGTACTCAATTTCGATTTCTGAACCCATGAAAGTCGGCAATTTCAGTTGTAAAGTCGTAACTCAATAGATAATTCCTCAATTCAAACAGATATCATTAAATTAAAGCACATTAACCCATAATTAAATAAAGATAATTTCTTATACGCATTTTGGGGTCATTACGCAATTAAGAAAGCAACAAGCTGAAGCAATATAAACAAAATGTGGCGCAAGCATGCACAAGTATAGTTCAAAACAAGGCTATTTCATTTACCTGTACTGAGCAAGTTTCCAAATCATACTACACAAGACTACACAATAGCCTAAGAGTTACCAAGGTTGGGCTGTGAGCACTAACCTGCTGCTACTCCTTAATATGGCATTTTAAGCCATTTACAAAATAATAGGAGGAAACATAGTACATGTTTGAGGAGCTATAATTCTTCTTCATAAATTCTACGAAACTGGAAAAACTACAAGGTTTTTACCCAAAGGTAGCTTCATACTAGGTTACACATATAAAAATTTACAAGAGTAAGTTTGTCCATTTGTTCCTCCAAAAATAGGTTTGAAGTCTCTATTGCACAGGTTGGGCGCTGGGCTGGCAGTGGGGCAATGTTGCGCATTGGCACATGCATATGGATTCCGGTTGTTGCTACTGCACACAGCACTTGGTTTCCTGGTGCATGGGCTTGGCATTGGCTGGGCTGGCAAAGGGGCAATGTAGCTCATTGGCACATGTGCACAGGCACTGGGCCTTGCTACTGGCACTGTTGCTCATGGCCTTGGGCCTACTTGGTTGCCTGGCACATGGGCTTGGTGTTGGGCACCTGTGCTGCTACTGGCACTGTTGCTCATGGCCTTGGGCCTACTTGGCTGCTGTTTGAAGCTCTGCCTTAGGCCAAATGGTCGATGACTTGACGTCCTTGGTAACTTTGCCCACTAAGCAACAATCTCATCCTAAAAAGCCATCAAGTCCGCCTTCCTTTCTCAGCTGATTTCTTCATCACAAAGACTTTGCTACTTCACCAAATATTGCCTTTGCTTCTTTTAGAAAACATCTTGATCCTTTGGCTGTGGCAGTCTGACTTGTCAGCTCATTCTGTGATGGATTTTCCTTGTTTGGGTGGTAAGGCTTCCAATAGATTACATGGAACACTGGGTGGACTTTCAGCCATGATGGAGTGTCTATCTTGTAAGCACATTTATGCACTTTGCTAGAAATGGTTACCAGTCATTCATACTTCCTTACCAATCTTTTATTACTTACCCCCATGAACCTTTGTTGGTCAAGGAGGAGTTTGACAAGCTAGATCTCCATCTTTGAACTCAAGTGGCCTTCTCTTCTTGTCAGCCCATGTCTTCATCTTATTTGTTGCCTTTTCAAGATTAGCTCGAACATTGTCGTGGTTTTTCGTCCAATCCTTGGTAAATTGGAAAGCCCTTGATGACTTACCTTTGTTGTGGGTTAATAGTGGCAGCTGTCTGTTCACAATCTCAAAGATGCTATTGCATGTAGAGTTGCTCCTCGT